CATCCATCCATCCATCCATCCATCCGTCATCCATCAATCTGTCATCCATCCATCCATCATTCATCAGTTCATCATCCATCCATTCATCCATTCATCCATCCATCATCCATCCATCCATCCATCCATCCATCCATCCATCATCCATCCATCCATCCATCCATCATCTATCCATCTATCCAACATCTGTCCCTCATCCATCCATCCATCCATCATCCATCCATCATTCATCAGTTCATCATTCATCCATCCATCCATCAATCCATCCATCCATCCATCCATCCATCCATCCATCAGTCATCAGTTCATCATCCATTTATCCATCATCCATCCATGATTCATGCATTCATATTAATGACTGATTACTGTAACTGGTAATAATGAACAATTGAGGATGAAACATTTCAAGTATTGACATTTTTCAGTAATTAAAGGGCTAATTCACTCATTATAGTCATCTGACCCCAAACAATGGTTCAAACAAACTCATTAAAGTGGAATTCTGATTTCCTATCTTTCCATATCTACGTTTTCCTCTCATTGGCATCCTCTTTGTAAACGTATAGCGATAGATGAAGGAAAATGCCATCAGTTCTGGATCTGTTTCACAGGACCAGCTCGGGCTGCCTGGGCCCACTAATTACCTCTAACTGTGTGTGTCCACATTTCCGTCTGCCACTGTTAAAGGCAGCTCATCGCTTTGTGGAGATGAAAACTTGAATTTGCTTCTCACGCCCTCAATTATTTTAAATATATGCAGAGGGGGGGAGCCCGGCTGGCCCGTTCCCTTCATTCCAGCGTTAATGAACAGAGAGGCTGCAGAGTGGAGAAAAAGGCTGTTTACCCGCCGCCCAGAATACATATCAGCCCCATGAAGGATGCATGAGGAGCCAAACAGCACAGGAGAAGCAGGAAAAACCAAAGCCGTAAGGCCCCAAAAGTGCTCCCGGAACGCAGATCCGTTATCGGTAAATCAGAACAAAAGGAATCTCCTCTGAGTCGTTCACAACCAGAAGAATCGTGTTTTCTTTTTCGGGGTTTAGAGAATCCTCTCGGAGCTGCCGGGCGCCCGGGCTCCGTCTTATCTTGGAAGCTTCTAATGGCCTCTCAGTCATCGCAGATTATCGGACCAGTTTCAACAACCAGATGTTTTCAAATCAGCTCAAAGACGGAATAAAAGGGAGAGAAATAGTACCGAGTGCTTTTATTACGGGAGAGACTGGGAGGCACCTTTAAAACACTGGTCTGGTTTTCACAGAAGAAAAAAAACATTAAAGCAGCTAAAAATACACAGAAAGTGTTTGTTTGCAGGTTCTCCCTCGAGTTTACATACGGTGACTACAGGACATTTTTCTACAGATACAGCAGCTGGATGGATGGTTTTGTTGTCTCTCTTTCCTTTTTTTTTTTTTTTCTCTCCTTTCTTCCTGTTTTAGGAATCTCTTTCCTTTTTCCCCTTTCCTGTCCCCCGGTCATGGTTGGCATTAGCCATATTACTTATGTAACAAAAATAAATCCTAAATATATAATAAAGCAGTATGGGATGATCAAGGGAGGGTTCTCACCCTGACAGGCCTCCCTTGGCAAAGCAAAAGTGTCGGGCACAGCACGGCACTCAGATTACAATTCTGTTGCTATAATGCCAAACACGACAAGGGGGAAAAAAAAAATAAAATAAAATAAAATAAAATAAAAAATACACAGAAAGAGCACATGTTAGCGAACACATGTTAGCGAGCACATGTTAGCCAGCACATGTTAGCGATCACATGTCCATGCCTGGAATCTCCTGAATCCACCAGGTGAAAACCCAGACATGAAATC